AAAAAAAGAAAATCATGCTTGATTATACTGATTACATGATATCTATAGTCCTTGATCATCATCATCATCAATATACATATATAAATATTGAGTAAGAATGATGACGATCACTTTACAATCATTATCAATAATAAGGGAGTCATTGAAAATATTTAAATCACATACATATATGAAAAACAACAACAAGGTAGATATGTGCGTGTGTTATCCTGAAAACGAGACTATCGACATTTGCATCATTTGACAAATTGATTAGAACATGCAAGTAACCGTTATCGATGCAGAAAGGGGCCTAGAATGTGCATGTATATATATATATGTATATGCGCGTGAGACAGAAGGGGAAAAAAAACGACGACATTTCGAAAATCGACAATATATTATATTTATATATATATATATAAACATATACGTAAGTTGGTTAGTTGCAAGTCAAAGGTGATATACTCGAAAGCAAAAGGAAAAAATCTCAAATAACGAGTGAGTGAAATAAATGAATGATGAAAATAATAATCAATAGATTGAACATGTCTGTTTGTCAATTGATCATTTTTTATTTTCTTTTCACTTTAATGTGTTCATGTTTCTCATCAGTCAATTCATTTATCCATTACCATCTGGTCGGAAACGATCATCTTTCTCTCTCTAACATACACACACAAAAAAAAAATATATGAGAGGAAACGACGTACATCCTATATAGCTTCAGGGAAGTAGGAGAAGATTTTTTTTGTATTTTTTCCTTTAATAATGACCATGACATTCGAATTTGATTGAGAATTTTTTCTCTTTTCCTCTTTCTATTAGTTAAATATCTTTTACAAAGAGGATTAGTCACATCTTTCTATGTATATATATATATATATCAAAAGCTTCGAATGATGTGCTTCACCTGCACATGTAAAAAATTATCATACAAATACAACAAAAAAAATGAGAAGAAAGAATCTCTCATTTTCTCTTTTGCGTGCATGTGTGTGTTCACGCTCTTCTGTGAAATTGATATCGGGTCAGTGCAATGACGGCACACATACAGAACGTCAGCATGCACACACATAGAAAAATCTGCTGCATCTTTTTTTTTCTCTCGTTCTCTCTTTCTTCTTCTCTCATTTCTTTTTTTCTCTCTGTGTCTCTTTCTCTACCACTATTGCCATTCACTCCTCCTCAACTACCACAGAAGTAACAACACAATTATTTCCTATAGAAATGTTTTTGTCTTTAAAAAAAAAAAATGAATTTTTTTTCTTCTTCTTCTTCTTCAGATGCATACACATCATCCTACAACACGAAGTTCAAGCACAACATTAAATGAATTAATGAAAAAAACTCCATCACCTCGTCGTCAAACGACACGTTCAACGTCTAATATAAATAAAGATAATTTAACTTCTACAAATATTCAAGTTATTAAACCGGTTGCTGTACGTCCACCATCATCAGATTCAATACAAAATCCATATAATTTACGTTCACGTACTAAATTAAAAAATTGCAATATTGAAGTTATACCATCATTTACAGAAAAACTTTCATTAGATACACCACAACATAAACCGGTGCCACCATTAACTCGTGCTGCTGCTGCATCGGCCGGTGTTAAAATTGATTCATTTATACATGATGAATCGATAAAAACTAGTAGTAATAATAATAATAAAATTTCAATAAATTCTCAACAATCAACACGTTCGAGTACAACTCGTAAACGTAAAGCAAGTGAAGATGATCATAGGCCTCATTTAGATTTACTTAAAATGAAACAGGTAATTTCTTTTTCCTTTTTTTTTTTTTTTTTTTTTTTTTTTTTTATTCATACTAATATGTGATTGATTTTATTCATTAAATCACACATTATTATTTGTTATCGCGTTTCTTTCAAGTGTTAATGTGAACTTGGTTCGTTTCTTTATATATACATATATATATATATGCACCCATCATCAGTCCTTTTGTCAATAATAACACATACATCGTTTTATTTGACTTTTTTTTTGTCTATATGAGAAAGAATTTTGACAGCTCTCTTTTCAAAGCGCGATAGTCGAGCATATTAGTCGTTCGTTTCTTCTTTTTTTTTTTCTTATTTATTTGATTCGAATAAGAATAATGATCAATTGCATCATATGTATACTGACATTTCATGTCTTGAGATATGTAACGGATTCGAGTCATTTGTCATATTTTGTTATTTCTCTCGTCTCGTTCTTTTTTAGACACAATCGACATACAGCTTTGATGGCAATTCACCAAAAAAGGTATGTTTGAAGAGTTTAGAATATATTGCCATAATAAGTTAAGAGAAATGACCATCAAAAATATTTAAAAAAAAAAAAAGAAAATTGTTCGATCAATTGATCTCTATCGTCCTCCTTTTTCTTTCTTTCGTCGTCATTGTCGATTCTTCCTCTTTTTCCCTAAGCGAATGAAAAAAAGCATAGAAATAAATTGAGTTGTATGTGTTTGTATGTGCGCTCTGTTGAGCAGCATACGAAATGAGATTGACAATCGCACCTGTTCACTTTTTTTTCTTTTATAGCATAAATAAAGAAGAAAAAATAAAATCGACTAAGATTTTTAATATTTGACTGATTGATTGAACAAGAATAAAGTATTAGGTTTCTTTGTTCTCATTTTCTTTTTTTGTTATTTACTTAATTAGAATACTATATATATATATATGTGTGTGTATGCATCAACATATTGTTTGACCTGAAAACTGCTAATTTGCACGCTCGGTCAAATTCACTATAGAATCTATTAGAATAATGGAATACGACTACTAAATTGAGGCATCTCTGATTGTCTGTTGCACTCTCTTTTTATTTCCGTTCATTTTTTTTCTTCTTCTTTTTCAATAGATGACAAGACGTGCCGATCAAGACTGTATTGGAGGCGATGATGAAGATAGCGGATGCGATTATGATTCTCCAGCTCATTCTCCGGTCGACTTCACGGATGTTCCTCCCGGTCATGTACTTCACTTTGAAGAGTCAAATATGTCGTATGATTCGGGTTTTAGTGCTGGATCTGGTGAAGCAAATAATAATCAACAAAGTTTATCTGAATATAGTCAAACATGTTCTTTATTAGGAATAAATAACAGTGGAATATCTACACGTAGTAGTAGTAATAATATAATAAATTCTAACAAATATCCAGCAGCTATTGATCTCGATGTTAATGCTATTGAAGGAGATCTCGGTTTCTAGTTTTCGTTCTTTTTTCTTTTCTTTTTTCTTTTTCTATATAATGAATACCAATTATAACATTGCAGTCGTGTATGTGTGTGTTTTCTTTTTGATGTTGTTATTATTGTTCACATTATGATCATCATATTGTGCGTGCCATCTTTACCATTTTTTTTTTCTGCTTCTTTCTTGCTGTCAGATGTGTGTTGAGTATATACATGCTTGTCATTTCTTTCTTGTTTTTCCTCATCATTGCGCCATGGCGTATTCATATACTCACACTATTTGTACGGCTCTTTTTTCTCTTAAGCTCCTCGTCGTTTGTCGTCCCGTCAGTTTTCTTTTTTTCTTTTTTCGTCCCGTGGTGGTTCATTTTCTTCCTTTATTTCTCGTTAGACTATAATTTAAAACAAATATGATCTAAGTCCGGTTCAATCAGTGCTTTTTTTCTCCTTTTTTTTTTTTGTTTTCTTTTTAAAAAAAAAAAAGATGATTGATTGCATTGTTTAACATATTATATTCATACTAATTCTGCCATTCCTTTAATTATCTTCGATGTGTCTTCTTCTTTTTCTGTTCATTTTTTTGTTTCTATCAACTTCTTAAAAAGTAGTCACATACTTTGTATTCTTGACGGTTGCCATTTTTGTTCGGCTTTACAGGATTAGTTTATATATATATATATACATATATATGCATATGTACATATATATATGCATAAAAGCTGTATTCGTTTTCCTTTTGTTTTTTTTTCTGATGGATTAAAAAGGATTTTTTTTTATTCGTATATAATGCATAAAAAAAAAAACTAGACGACAATTACATGATAAAATATAAAGTTAAAATTGTTCTATTTATATTGTATGTGAATGAGTTGAAATGTGAACTCTAAAAAAAAATATCTACAACAAAATAAATAAAATTATGTTCTAATGTAAATGTACAAATTATATTTCTGTAATATTTACGATTAATAGAGTAGTCTAAGAATATAATTAGTTTTTCATTGAAGATAATTATAAAATTCAAGTTGTACGTAGAAAAAACAAAAAAAAGAATATTAGCAAATTGTATTTGTTTTTTAGAATATATTAAATATCAAATGAACTTTTGTTTGTTTGTTTTTTTATAAAATATTAATCAGACAGCGCTATTGAAGTTTTTATAAACATTCTTTTGATCTATATATATATATTAACATAAAACAATGATTGTGTATAATGATCTATGTTTATATGCCGGAAATCATGTATTCAAACAAAATGATATGTCTTCAGAATGTTGACGTGTTTACAGCGGTTGAGCATGACAAAGCGATTATCTACAAAGAAAAATTCTCTAGTTCTTATACGTGCTTGATAGATCTGTCATTTCCCTAGTGTAATGATATCAAAAAAAAAAAAGAAAAGAAATATGCACTTCACATTCGATCACGTATTCCCAAGAAGAAACATATGTCATATTGAATTTTGTTTGCATATGATCCTTAGTGATTATTCTTACAGATTGATTAAAATTTTTATCATATCACAGTTTTTAATATCTAGTCTAATTGTATAAATAGATAATAACAAAAAAAGAAAAAAAAAAACAAAATGCATATTGGAAGTTTTTTTTTCACAAACATCCCGAAAGAGAAAAAATGTCCAGTATTGTGAATGTAAAGGAGAAAAAAGAGTTTCATAGAAATATGACAATAATGCACAACAAAAGTGTCTTTAATATTGTCGAAATTTAAACTCTTTTGTTTATAGTCTTTAATAAAAATTGCACGATAATGTGTAAGAAGATAATAATTGACCTAATTTATCATGAAACTTTTGTTGGCGAGGATATTGGCATCATCCTAACTAAATTTGGTGTTGGTGGTGTTGTTGGTATTTTAAAATTTGACATATATTGACGAGCATTTGATTCAGCACGAGCAATCAATTGTTGAATCTCGTCATTACGATCACGATCGATTCTAAAATATTTAAAACGAAAAAAATATCTAAATTATCAATTATAATAAAGTTTCTATTTTAAAATATAAAATATTCTATATATTCATTAGTTTTTCTTTTAATCATATTCGATACTTATGTTAAATAAATTATGCAATATATTCTAAAATCTATACGTATTAGTCTTTGTTCTTGTTTGGATATTATCGAAAAATTTCTATAATGATGAATTAATGATCGATATATGATTTAATTGCTAGATATTGTATTTTGATACTTTCTAACGAGAGAACTACTATAACCAGGGTTGTCAGTATTTTTTTACAGATGGAAGAAGCTAAAAATTCAATAGAAAATGTGCTAAAAGTGGTGATCAGCAACGGGACGACGATATATTCTGCCAGAGAAAGACTAATGGAAGTTCAAAATCCAATTTCTATCCAAAGTTACCATGAAGATGTAAAAAATTGGCAGAAAGTCGAACATTTTGGCAAGAGATGGAACCATTCTCTTCTAATCGAAAGTCTTGATCCCCAACTGTTATCCGATGTTTGAGCTCACAAAAAAAGATCTTGGTAAGATTAGCAAGGTTCTAATTCATGAATCTTTGAAGTTGAGTTATAACTGTTTCACTAAATTTTTAAATAGTTATCGAAAAATGGAATTTCGATCTACTTTGTGTATTTATTACAGTCTTAGAACTGATTGAAATTTTTGCACTTAATCGAAATAAAAAAATCGGTTCATCTTACATAGCAATGAAATAATTAATTCTTTCAAGAAAAAACTCTCTTACTACAGTTCCATGAAGACGTATAATATGATATTCATCTTTCTATTAGTAATAACTTCTATTTTAGTCTATTGTGTTTTATATATATTAGAATACTAAGAATAATTACCGTCGATCATCTTGTGTTCTCTTTCGCATCTGACTCATTATATCTCGAAGATCAGCATTTTCTTCTTCGAGTATTTTTATTTGAACTTGTAATGATTCTTTAGAAACTTTTTCCGTTGCAAATTTTCGTTCAAATTCATTGACCTAATTTTAGAAAAATAAAAAATAAAAAATATTAATGATTATAAATAAAATTTGAATACTTTTGATCGTAATTCTTCCATACGATTTGATGAATCAACTGTACCCGTATCAAGATTTATAACATCAGTTCTAAAAAAAAAAAGATTTGTGATATATATATTAAAATTTTAGAAAAATATTTATTTTTTTTTTTGTACCGTCGAACAGTAATATTTTCGAGTATCTGACCACGTCGCATACGTTCTAATTCTTCTTCAAGAAGACGATTTCTAATATAAAAATGAAAGAATTAATAAAAAATAACAATGATTGTGTATGTTTAGTTGATGTTTGATATATATATATATATATATACTTATCAACAAGTTCATTTAATCGTTTATATTCATGTGATATTCTATCTTCAACTGATTGTCGTTCAAGAAGTATTTCTCGACTTTTATATTGTGCATCTTGAATAAGTTTATCTTTTTCAAAAATCATTTCTTTTTTATGTGTTAATTCATCTTTAAGTCGTTCTATTTCATTTTGTAATTGTTCAGTACGATTTTGTGCTTCACGTCTTTCACGATCAGTTTGTTCTCTAAAATAATTATAGATTACACTATGCGAGATTAAAATTTATTTAAATTTCAATGAAATTCATTTTTTTTTACTTATTGAATAAATCGATTCATTTCATAAGGCTATGTTTATTTTTGTTTATTTTAAATCATTTTCTAACTAGAATCAGATCATAGGATTAATTCTACTGTCAAAATAGGATTATGATATAAAACTTAGATTATGTTATCGATAATGAAAAAAAAAGTTTTGAATACTATATTTTATGGAGAAATGTATTTTCAATTATTGTAACCATGAAATGATTATAATAATAGAAAGATTTTGTGTCATAGACAGTTGACATATGTTTTAGATTTCAGGAAGAGAATAAATCTTATAATTTTCATGTGATGTTTATTGACATTATCTCCTTGATATTTGTTGCTTAACACTCTTAATATTTTCCATTTTTCAAAAAATCTGAACACTGCTAGTTTTTCATTTCGTATAAAAGTTCTTAGTATATCATTTATGATTTATCATAAATTTTAATAACAAAAACAAGAAAAAAAAAAGAAACTACACTTACAAACGTGATTTAATTGTATTCATTCTATCTTTATATTTTGCCGTCACATTTGCAACATTTTGTGAAAGATATTCAGATTGTGCATTAATTTCCGACTAGAAAAAAAAAGGTATAAGACAAAACAAATTCAATAAAGAAATAATCAAAAAATAACAAATTATACTAAAAAAATAATAAATAACTTTGCATTCAAGCGTGTTGGGCATGTTCCGTTAGTATGTATATGGAAGTGTGCATTTAGAATGAGAAAAAAATAATTAAGCATTTGAAATAAATACATAAGCCATGTGTGATTTGCTTTTCCTTTTTTTCTTTGTAAGTACAAATAAAAAAATAACATATATTATTTGTTTTATTCTTTCGAATGAAACTTTCAATAGAACATTTATTCTAGAGAAAGAATGAAATTCTTCTCTTTTCTGAAAAAGTAAAATAACAAGTATCAATATTTAGTTTTGTTTGTTTGTTTTTTTTTCATAAGTTATATTTAAAAATTAGTGAGAATGAAAATAAATAATGTGAATAATTAAATATATATGTAAGTGTTCTTTGTTTTTTTTTTTAATAATAATGGACCTGTGATAGGTGATAATAAGCACTAGGTTGTGCTTGTAGATAGTTCGTCTAGAAAAATATATATTGACACGTATCAATGTGGACTAATTCAATCATGTGAAAAGAAAAATACATAAAAATTAAATTTTGATAAAAAGATAAATAAATGTGATTCTAGTGATTTAGATAAATGAAAACAACAAAATAATACCAATTTCTTGCGTAGCTGAACTAGTCGAGTCATAGAATAATATATTTGCAAAAGTAATTATTGAATTAAAAGAAGAACAAAAATAAAAAAGCAAACCATATCTATATATAGAAATTAAATACATACCTTTTCTTTTTCAAGTTGTTCACAACGACGTAATGTTTGTTCGAGTACAACTTGTACACGTTCAAGTTGTAATGTTGCAGCTGTAACACGTTCACATACATCTTCATATTTTATTTTAAGTGACATTAATTCATGTTCAAGTTGAGCAGAACGTTGTCGTTCATGTTCTAATTCAGTTGAATCATTTCCAAGAAGACTTGAATCATACTGAAATTTTTGTTTCATTTTTTTAAAACAATGTCAAATTTTATGAATAGAAAATTTATTATACGAGATAAATAGTTTTTCAGAGAAGAGACTCTCTCATCTAAAAATTTTAAGTCAACTAATCGAAGTCATCTTGATTTCAGATGTATTTAACTGCAGATTTTTATCTCTAGAAAGTTTCATTGTGAAGACTCTATCTTATTTATAAAACAAATATCTCAATAACTAGATTTAATTAGTGTATCGACAAGTATTTAGAAAAATTAAATATATAAAAATGAGAAAATTTCAATTTTCTATATATATATATCAATTCTTACCGAATCTCGTTCTAATAAAGATTGTTCATGTAATTGTTTTCTTGCATTATCTAATTCAAATTTAAGTGTATTCGAATATTCAACTAAATCATTATATTGTTCACGTAATGTAATAAGATCATTTTCAAGTTCAGTCATATTTAGCTAATAAAAAAAAAAATTCATTTCTAAAAAAAAAAATTATCTTTTTGTTTTTACATCTTCATGTTGACATTGTCTTTGAGGACTAAAAGAAAAACATATAATTAATTGACAACATTCAATTTTTTTTTTTTTTTTTTATTTAATATATACTTTGATATTTGAATATTATCATCTGTAAATTCCATTGGTGGTGTTTGTTTAATAGCTTCATTTAATCGTTGATTACATGTAACAATATGTTGACGTAAAACATCACATTTTAATTTAAGTCTTTCAATATTAAATTTAACAGTTTCATCAGAATTTTCAAACTAAGAAAAATTTTAAAATTTAAAAAATCAACAATTCAATTCTTTACTTGTTGTTCAAGTTCAGTAAGTTTTTTTTCTGTTAATTCAAGTTCATATTGAACACGACTTATTTCACGTTCAAGTGAACGTTGTTCAATAATATTAAATAAATGTGTCATATTTAGATCTGATACACGTTGAGATTTATCCATCTAAGTATACAATAATAAAAAATAAACGAAATTTTTTTTTTTTTTTTTTTTAAATGAATATATCTGATATTGCTCAAAAATGGAACAATTCGATTCTTATTTTCGAATATGATTCTTTGTTGAGCATTGTGTGTAAAAAACAAACTAATATACGAAATCTTATTTTTCTACACTTACTTCTCTAATTGAATTATTACTCTAGAATTTAGTAGATTTTTTTTTGTCTTATTTTTATTATCTATATTTCTTTTTCTTTTTTCTTTTCATTTTATAAATAATTAAAATCTTACTAAATATCTAAGAAGATCATTTTCTTCTTGTTGAGAAGTAAATTTTAATTGAAGTTCTTGTATTTTTGCATCTGATTGTCGCATTTGTTCAATAGCTACTTGAAGTATTGATGATGTTGATCCAGTATGTTGTTCTAATTTTTCATCAAGTAATGTAAATGTATATTCAAGTTTAGCACGAAGAGTTTCTAATTGACGTTGTAATTCAACATTTTGTTGCATAAATTTTTGTGAAACAAGATCTTGATTTCCTAGAAAAAAATTTTCAATAAAAGAAAAAAAAAACCTAATTTTTCTATTAAATATCATTCGAATAGTTTTAATCATATACTATCAAAGGTTCTATTTTGTATAATGAGATGTTTTTTTTCTATATGATATTATGCAAAAAAATATACTGAAATTTTTATTAATGATTAACATAAATATTATATTTTTCTAATAATCAAACGATATAAATTTATCTATTCAAATGAAATTTTTTTTTTGTTGAATAAAAATTTGTTTTAATATATAAACTATATTTAAATACCTGATGACTGTGTAAGATCACTAACACGATCTGTATATTCAGTTGGTGGTGGACAAGTTTGATCAATAATTTGAATTAATCGACTAATTTGTTCATTTTTTTCTACGACAACTTTATCTAATTGTCTATGAAATTCATTTTCAAGAAAATGATTTTGATTTTCAAGCATAGTTGTTTGTTCACGAAGATATTGAACATCACGATCAGCATAATTAATCATTTCACGTATACGCTAGAAATATCAATAATAACACAAAAAAAAAAAATAGTTATAAGAAAAATTTAATTCAAACCTTCAATCCACCTAAAAAATCATCATCATCTAAATTAAGATCTCGTAATAAATGTCTGTAACGTTGTAAAATTGATAGCATTGTTTGTCCTTTTAACCATAATTTCATAATTATTTCACGTTCTTCTCCTTCATGTAAATGAAATTCACGTTCAATAGCATTCAATACATCTTGATAAGAAAGAAGACCCTAGAGAAAACAACAAGAAAAAAAAAAAGATTTTTCTAATATAAAAATTCTTGAAATAACATCGATTTATTTGTATAGGAGAGGAAAAAAAACAATAATTAATGATACTTGTTAATAAGCATTTATTCTTATACTTTTACATATTCAAATTTTTAATATCATTTATATGAGTCAAACGGACAAATTTTTAAAATATCTCATATAAAAATCATTTGTTGTTTTTTTTTTTTGCTTGTTTATACATACTTTTAAACTAACAGACGATGGATAGACAACAATTTCACTTGTTTCAGATACACGAGGTGATGTACAAGTTCTCGGAGGTGGAGGAGGAGATTGAACGGAAGATGTTGTTGATGTTGTTAGTGGAGGAGATAATGGTGTTGAAATTAAATTTACTACTTCGTTTTCATCAGGTATTGATGTTTGAGATGATTGTGAATGTGATGACATAACTGGTTTTTGTTCAACTAATTTACGTACAGTTGGTAATAAAATTTTAATATTATCAATAATAGTATTTAATTCATCATATTGTTTCTGAGTAATCTATTTTAATGAAACAGAAAAAGAAAAATTTAAATTATAGCAAAAAACATAAATAGATATTTTAGATTTATCGATTTTTTTTCTCTTTACTTGTTTTGAAGATGTAGTTGATGAATGTTGAACTAAAATTAAATATACATAAAAAGGAAAATCATATAAAAAATAAAATGTTCGTTTTTTTTTTATTATTATTATGAATAAAATATTACCATCGGATGTTGTTCTTGTACGTTTTATAGGTTTAGAATCGTAATAATGTGTTTGACTATCAATGATCAAACCCTTAAATAAATCGAAACCGAATTATGTTGGTTAAGAATGCGAAAAAAGAAAAAAAAATCAACAACGAAATGTAACTCAAATATGTACACAAAATATATAAAATTGTAGGAATGTGCGGTATTTATGACATTGACAATCACAAACATTTCAACAACATCATTGCGAATTTTTTCTTTTTTTTCTTATCGTCATCTTATTTTATAAGAAAAGAGAAAAGAAATTTTTCATTTTTTAGCAAACCGCAAAAACTAGATCAACTGAAAGAATGGATCATAAGGCACGAAAAATAATTTATATTTGCAATAAGAGACCCCACTTAAACAAAAGTATAAGATAGAAACAACATACTTCAAACGCATTTTGTCTTTATTAAACGTAAAAGAAAACTAATCAAAGTAAAACGAAAAGAAGAAAAATGATGAAGTAGAAGAAGAAAAAAAAACTTCCGAAAAACCAAACGACCTAATTTATCGAAAATTTACATACCTGTTGTGGGCGATGATCAGTATTATCGTCTGAAAAATTTCTTTGAAATGTTTGATAATCTTTGTTTTTCGTTTTTTTATGTCTATTGATACGTCGATGTGTTGATGCTAAAAATAATTATATAATCATTAATGATGAATTTTATCGACTCTCTCTCTCTCTCTCTCTCTCTCTTTTTCTATTATTCATAGAAATAGTCTAATGCGGCTTAAGAATAAATGTTTCTAGGTTTTCTCTCACCAAAACATAAGATGTATGCATTATAAAGTGTGATATATAAAAAAAAAAAAAAAGAAAAGAACTGACTCCAACTTAAACGGTTCCTTTTGTATATACATATAAGCGACTAATTTTAAATATACATCAATATTACCAACGTTTTCTTCATCTCTCACACCCTTTCTCTCTCCCTCTCTCTTTCTGTTCGAGTGATATTAAGTCAAAGAAAAACGAAGTCAACAAGGTGCGTCGACGGTATCGAAAGTTATTATTTGTTCATCAAGATTCATTCTTTCTCAATAGTTATGCTGAAAGGAAAAAGAAGCGAAGAAAAAAATCAGAAGTGCATACACATCTGCAGGACATTAAAAAAGTCAAGAATGAAGAAGATTATACAATTTGATGGTTACCCTTCGATACTGATACTATGGTTTTCTTTCTACTTTTTTTTTTTTGCTTTTTACATTTTAGTTATGTTTGATCTTAGTAATATAATAAGATAAGAAAAAAAAATGATAATCTCCTTATTTATAATGAACGAAAATGAATATACTTATGTAAACACTTATTAATAAAGGTCATCTAAGATGTTAAGCGAAAGTTAAAAGCTTAAGTGATTTTTATTTCTTTGAGTGAATAAGTAAAATTTTACGAATGATAAACAATGTATGCAATTATGAACTTCACGAAGGTTTTTTTTTCTCTTCCTTGAATTGAACAAGTAATGTAGTGTTTAAAAGATTTTCTCTTTGGTCATACTGTTCTTTCTTTAAAAAAAAAGCAGTATAACATGTTATCTTTTTTCTCAACTCTCAAAGCATTTTGTTTGACAATGTTAGAATTGAATCTTTTGATGAATGATTTATAACAAGAACAATAAAAAGAATGTACTTATTTCAAGGATAGAACAAAAAAGTTCTTGTAATATATCTTTAAACATTCTTTCTGTTAAAATATGATTTAAAAAACTTAACAGTAATTAGTTTGAATCTATGTTTAAAGAATTTTGTCATCATCTATTTCAAATGTTTTAATAGTATTTTGAATGGTGAATTTGAAATTTTAATTTGTTACAATAATAAATTTTCGAAAATCTTACTTTGTTTGATTTATTTATTGTTCTCGAAACAGCAAAAAAAACTATTGAATATTTCTTTTCAAGAATCTTTCAAATCATCGTTTAAATTTTGTTTATAACGTAAAAGCAAAACGTAATTTAACATTTTCTAAACAAACCTATCAAATCAATATGTGATTTAAGTACGCCCATAAGAGCATCTAATTTAGATAGATTAATAAATATTAATTATAAGAAGACAATACAAACCATTCACTTCATGCAAGGCAGACGATAATGGATGTTCATCTAATGTTTCAATTACATCATCATTCTTACTATTATTATCATCATCGTTGTCATGGTCTGATGAATGAGAAATAGGTCTTGCAGTTGGATTTTGGTATTCTTGACGTTTTCTTTGAATTGGTGAAGGTGCTGAATCATCTTGGCTTATTAAAGCTCTGGTAAAAATTGGTGAAGGTGCTGAATCATCTTGGCCTGTTAAAACTCTGGTAAAAACTGGTGAAGGTGATGATGAAGAAGCCATATTTAATTAAAAATCTCGATCTAAAATCATAAATAGAATTAAATCTATTTCATGAAAATAAATTCTCTATTGACAGAATAAATCTACATGTACTACTTTTTGACTATCTAATACATATGCTAATAAAAACTATAGATAAATATTGTGTAATAGAGGACTAAAAAATTTATCATGCAAGATTGACGATATGTGATATTTATGTATTTTGTTTCTTACATTATCATTGTTTTTTCATATGGCATAATACGAGATAAAATTGTTTTCATTCTTCTTATCATATATAATAGGATAAGAAAGAGCAAAGATTTTTTATCCGCCGAAGCCTTTAATTAAAAGAAAAACATTCGAACATGATTGCTATGTATTTTAAAAGCCAATATTGATGAGATTTTGATTCTTTTTTTTATTATTAATGAATATAGAATAAATAGTATGTTTGTTATTTATTGAAAAGCAAATGGTAGGTCTCTTTTTCTTTTGTTTTATTAAAATTATGTTTAACTTTACATAAGGTTTCTATAATAACTGAATATTTGATAGATTGATTGATTTAATGGAATAGGCATGATCAAAAAGTTTCATTTTGATATGAAAGTGAATATTTTATAGAGGTTTCGTTAATGTACTCTTTTCAAAGCATTTGATACCATAAAAAAAATACAATGTGCTCATATTTGACTGAAATTCATAATGTTATTATTAATTAAGATACATGATACATGTTAAAACTTTAATCATAATACACGGTAGTATGAAAATCATTTTGAAACTTATCTAACTGATCCATATTGTAAAACATATAACTTCATTAGAATCGATGTTGAGGGTGGGTATAGTATACTGGCAACTCAACACGTGAATATTTGTTGATATTCAATCTTTCTAATGCTAACAGGAAGAAACTTAAGGTTTCTTTTGAAAAAAAAAATGTTTTCATACAATATATTAGCCAGGAAAATTAGTAAAATGGCTAGCTATGAATAGGCATGCACCTAAACCGTTTGAATTGTTTTTGCCTAAATGAAGAAAAATGCTCTCGAATCTACTAAGCCACATAACACAACATTTTTTCGTTGATAGAAAAAATGAAGTAGGGGAAATAATACTAGATAATGTCAAAAGAGAGATTCCGATAATGTTATTAGACTATGTCTTAGAGTCAATCAAAAAATTCCAAAATTGTCTTTCAGTTTCCTTCCAATCTCTTATTAAATCAAACAATTCATTGGATTATTCTCCGTTTGGTTATCAAAGACAGACATTCTTCTGTATTTTTAGTGCGATAGTTTACTGGATACATGGACAGATAAGTTCTTAACAGTTGAGTTTGATATAAATAAGTGATAGAAGAATACAAGAAAATAATTTTATCTGAATAAATTCACATCAAAAATTGAACATAGCTCTTGCTCGTTTGAAGTACAAGTATTTTGTTATCAAACAAAAAAAACCGAAAGTAGTTGTTGTAATTTTTCATCAAGAAGTTCATATTTAACACGTCTTTTTAGTTTTGAGTGTGAGTATAATCGTTCGTCTTTTCTTGACTTACACTCACACCCTTCTGAAAGTTGATATCGGGCTATATAAAGTACGGTTAATTCCTTATGTATTTTCCTTGATACAATAATTCATCCGTCTTTGGTCAAAATTCAGCACAAGAAAATCCATCAAAGCTCAAATGTCAGGAGCTCATTTATCGTGTCATCAGTTTGTTGATATAGTTCATAATGAATTAGATACGTTTGAAAATGTTCAAATTCTATTATTAGATTTGAATTAGTGCCCGGTGTGAACGCCACTCAAATTTCGTCATGGATGGCCAAGTATACTAAAATAGTCGCATATCCTGTCTCTGTTCCGACTGCATTTGGTTTTTTCCACAACACAAATAATTTCATAGTCTTAACTTATTACGATAATTTGTTCATGGTTTTTTTTTGAATCAAAACAACTAGACATAAATGTTACAGGAGAAAATGTATTTCATGAAAAATTAAAATTTTTCTGAATTCTAATTTTCCCTACTAAACTAACATCATAACAAGTACAAAATATAATAAAAGTACATATTTTGTTACAAATACAGTTAAATGAAAATACACATATATGTTATTATTCCATTGAACCAAATGGAATTAATTAAGAATGTAGTTTTTCTTCTTCAGGAGTACTCTCTCCTGCTTTTAAAAATTTTGACGGTAGCTTTCTCTTATTTTGGAAGATATTTGTGGTGAGTTTTTTTCGAATTAGAGGAAATTAGGACTATATTTTGCACCGATTTTGTAGAGATTTAGACTACGTTATTCTCTCATACTGAGTATACTATCAGAGGTCTATTTTCTGAAGATTTTATGTAATGGAACTATTTCTTACCAATGAAATAGTGATTGAAATTACCAAAAAAGCTTGATTTATTTCTACGATAAGCCGAGATGTTTTAAAATATCTGGAGTTTTTTCGACAACCTAATTCAGAATCATTCTTTGAATTTTTCAAGTAAATGCGTGAGCTTTATCATCCTTGTCGATAATTAGTGATTATACGATATCGAGAGCCTTCATATGTAACTGAAGTTTCTGTTGTCTTCGATGACAAAATCGGTTTGTCTATTTTTAGAAAACTCACCACAAGTTCAGGTTTCTAATGAAATTCGATAGTCATCGTTTTGGTTAATTGCTGCTACGAGCGTGGTCACCTATGATGACGGAAATGATTCAAAACCTTTTCTTAGTTGAATACGAAAACGCTTCCGCTACATAGAGCTGCAAGACAAGATAGAATATTTTAGAAGCTTGCATTAATGTTTGCTATGCAGTAAGATTTTTGCACATTATGTCTACTCAGTTTCGGCTGACTTTGAACGCTATTGTGTTAGAAAAAAATTGGTCATCCCAGACACTAGTTTGAATGTATGCCTAGTATAGAAGGCGCACAGTGTTGATAAGGAGAAGTAAATAGAAATTTTTCATTTGAAACAAAAATTTTCATTATATTTTGTCTTTCACAAAATTAAGAATGAAATTCATCATTTATTAATAATTTGAGAGAAAAACTTATCCAATTCTGGTAATTGACTTTGTTATTCCTATGCAAACATTTTGAACTGCATAGGTGATTTTAATTTTCCATTCAAATAAAAAAAAAAACTAACTTTAATTTTAGAATCTTTCTTTTAAATATTAACAATACGATCCACATAGAAGAATCAATATTCTTTCAAAGATTTTTCTTTATATCTTCTTTTTCTTTAGTCTAATATTAAAATATCATTATAATATCTTACATTATTCAATAAATATCTTGTTATTGAAATCATTGAATTTGTTCATTTATTATTTTTTTGCCTTGAATCATTACCAATAATCGATAGCTAAACATATTTTTGTTATCTGAAGTATTGTACATAGTTTTGTTTATTTGATGTTTGTCAATATGTGATAGCCAATTATAATATCGTGAATATCTTTTTTTTTTTAATGTTAACAATTAAAACAATATGCAAAGCACACAATATTCAACAGTGAAAACACGCACACACACACACACACTCAAATTGTTAGAATAAGAAGAAGATAAAAACATAACGAACAACATATTTTTATGTTTTATTTTGCCCATTGTAAAACATACACAATATACGAAAACTACAATGACAAATAAGAAATGTTATCCTATGAAATAGAAAACCAAAAAAAGAATAAAATCATATAAGTATTTTTTTTTAAATTTATTTTCTTCTATGATGAACGATGACCATCGACAGTTGTTGTTCGTGCATGACTATCATAAGGATGATTATGATGATTATTATAGATTTTCATTTGTCGATCAATCATTTGTTGACCACAATGTGATGCAATAATTTGCATTAATTCTGGACAATTTTGTTTTGTTGCAACATCAATAACACTTTCTTTTCTATCATTCATCCATGTTAATTCACCACCATTTCTTCAAAAGAAAATATTTCGTTTTGTTTTTGATTTTTTTCTTTTACTTACTTTAAAAGAATTTTTAATGGTTCAATACCATCGTATCCAAGAAAACAACATTCATGTAAAGCTGTATTACCTTTTCTAAAAAAAAAGACAAACATCAAATAAAGATTTGCTATGTTCAAAAAAAAAAAAAAAAGGATCTCGTCGAGAAATTCGATAGAATGTCAATACGATATTTTGAACTTGAGAAGAAAGTTTTTTTATTACTATTCAATTAAACCTTGAGAATTTACTCGTTGATTCTTTACAATGATATTCAATTTCTTACACAACATCATTCTACAATTAATTGTAATCGATCCTATAACGGATTGTGCAAAAGTTTTGCACTAAATTTTATTTTCAGTACTCATCGTGAAGATTTAATAGTTGACTTGTTAGAAAGAACAAAATTTCTAGTACAAAAAAACTGTATAAAAAATAATTTGTTCAAAAGATTATGTTGCCGATAAAATGCTGATTCTAATCCTTTATAGTTTATTATTGATGCAAGAGAACAACAATTGCTATTCAATGTCGTATAGATAATCTTAGTGAGCGAGTCTTATAAATGTAATGGAATATTTAGATGGTTTTTTGCTTACGGGTGCTAAACGGAAGAAAATGATACTACCATTCTTTTCGCTTTTTTTAAAAATATTTTGACTTGTGTATGGTCTATATTATTATTTTAGTATTATGCCAAAAATAATGTCTTATTAGTTGTAATTTTCGGTATTTTTTCTTTTGGCTTTTCTACAACACATCGAAAACGTTCTTTGCACGCGTATGGAATCTAGAAGAAAACCTCCATCCATTAAATAAGTTGATCGTTTTTTTTTCGTTTATGTAGCGCTATGATAGCGCATTGATAAAAATAAAATTATCAAATTATCGGTTAAGCTTGAAATCAATATTTTGCTAATAGCCTTTTGCTAGCGAATAGTGTTCATAATTACTAAGTCATTTCGAAAAATAAGACTTTTTTCCAACGATCAAAATTAACAAAAACCTCATGTTTTA